GGGATGTTCTTGAGGTTGACGATGCCGTTGGTCTTGAGCGCGGCGACGAGCGCGTTGGCGTCGGCGTCCGAGAGGTTGTCGAGGTCGAACGCCGGGATCGTGTACGCCGGGTAGTCGAAGATGCTCGCGGCCGTCGCCGACGCGAGGAACGACAGGATTGCGAGCTTGGAAGCCACCATGGCGGTCGAGAGCAAAAGCAAAAGTGGGGACGTTGTTGCTGCGAATGGGTTCAGGCGTGGCACATCTCAGGACTCACCCGTCAAAGGCACCCAAGCAGCGTCCGTCGATTTGAGATTCCGCCCAGATCGTTGCATTGTACTGTGCGTAATCGCTTCCGGTGAGCAGTACGTGGTACGTGCTACTAGTAGAATCAGATGCAGCGCCTTTCACAGAGGAGCGCCTTTCGCCCGTGGACGACAGTGTGGACGACAACTTGCAGGGTCCGCTTCGAGTCCGTTCCGTCGCCAAGTGCCCATCCAGAACGACGAAAGTCGAAGCTCATTACATATCCGCTCGTTTCATGACATCCATTTGACTCGAAGACCCCATTAAACAACAGCGGCAAGATGGGTTAAGACACTGCAATTGAAAATCCAACCGTAGTACTTTTACCCCGCTTTGTTTATGCAAAACCTCTCGCGCGACAGACGCACGTGTGGATACAGTGGCGCTTGCGACGGAGCCAAGGCGACTGCCCGAGCATGGGAAACTGCGAGGTCGTGAGCCCGAGCACAACGCTCACGTTTCGATCAAGTAACACCACCGTCGTGGAATGAGCTGGGGCTTTGACCACACAAGATGGCAGCTGCGTGACGGCCGCACGACATACAACAGATGATCGAAGCATCAGGATATTACAAAAACACGCGAGGCTGTCCATTCAACAATTGCGGTCGCAACAAGATGACACCTCGGCAACAACCATGGCAACGCCACATCTGGGAGCCAAACCAACCACATGCTGGGTTGTTGAAATGGATTGATTGAGGCTGCAATTGTTGGCGCTCGCCGCGGCATTGTCGCAGGGACATTCGACGGGGTCCTTCGTCGCGCTCTCCGAAAGAAATGCAGCTGCACCCGTACCGCCAAGTTTTGCAAGGCAAGAGGTGCCCTACAAGTAATCCTACGTCGTACGCAGCAATTGACGCTGCCAAGGAGGGGGCATAGTACGCGTACTTGCCGGTTGCACAAGGCAGCACATGGCGAGAATTCTAGGCGTGTGTGGGCGCATCGTTAATTAGTCGAGCGCTGGATTGAGTGGATGGAAGATTCCCATGTACTACTTGATATAACGTTACTTAGAAAGCCACATGAGAAGCATCCTAGTTCCTACGCCCACTGCGAGAGACCAATGTCTCTACTGCGGCAAATGCACAAAAACGAATCTAGACGGCCTGTGCGGTACGCCTGACTGCGTAGTTGCCTCATTGACTTGAGCTTGGTCATGGAAGCGCAACTTTTCGAGAGTAGAATTGCAATTCCTATAATGTCGTGGAATGACGTGGTAGCATCGCAGAGCAGTTAACCCGCTTTCTACGTCGGAGTTGGCACGAGTCGATGGAATCATATTGAACGAAGCAAGACCATGAATGCGTTCAAGTGACGGTGGTGCTGCGAGCGACAGGGGACTTCGGTGATTATTATGTAGACTTGCCTCCCACCTTCCTCGCCTAAAGCACATTATCGATCTTGCGATTCGCACGTTGATAACTTGATGCAAGAGCACATGACAATCGTGTACACACACGTCACATTTTACTTTCCTGACGGCTCGTTTCACGCACTGTGGGAGTCGTTTAGCGCCGCATTTATTCTTGGCGGTAACCGACTGCCGACGGCCGTGAAGAGCATGGACGAGACGGGCCAAGAGGACCAGGTAGACGACTGTATCTGCAGTATACAGCAATACGAGACGTGTCGTAGAAGGTCTTTGGGCGGTCCAACTCGGTGACCAAGGCCGCATCGCTCCTCGCAGGCGGCGCGTCAATGGCCAAGTCCAACAAGGAGGCGCGCGCGCTCGAGGCGCTGGCGATGAAGGACGAGCAGCTGCGGATCCTAAGCGAGCAAAACAACCAGCTCCTCAACACGCTCAACAACATGGACGACGAGCTTCAATCGCTCAAGATGACCAAGCTGCAGCTCGAGGACGACAACCGGAGTCTTCGGGACAGCAACTTTGAGCTTCAGAGCCGCGCGCGGGCTGCGGACGCGCACCTAAAGAAAGCTGAGGTACGTCGATGGTTGTGGGACTCGATGCTATTGCGGCGCGTAGAACAGCATGGAAGAGAAGGAAAAGCAGATCAAGGTGCTCACGGACCACAACGGCGAGCTCCTCCGGCTGCTCGAGATTGAAGAGAGCCAATCGGGCGCTCTCGCCAAAGAGAACGCGTCGATCAAGCTCGATGCCGATGCGCTCGCTAGCAAGTACGCGTCGCTCCTGACGACGGCCAAGACGCACGAAGAGATTGCGGGCCGCGCCGTGCGTGACAGCCAGCTCCGCGCCGAAGAAGTTCGTCTCCTCCGCATCGACACGGACCAGCTGCGAACGTCCAACAACGAGCTCAAGATGAAGGCCCAAGTCGAGCTCGAGTCGCTCCACGAGCAACTCCGCGTACTTGGTCTTGCCTGCGTGCATGATGGAAAGTGGTGCGTGTGTAGGTTCGAAAGGAAAAGCAATATCAGCTATTGGAGAAGATTCAGTCGCTCGACGAAGCCAAGCGTCAAAGCGATGATACGCTCCACGGCATGGAAGAGCGCGTGCGGCAGCTGCTGGAGCAAGGCCAGGAGCGCGAGACGCAGCTGCAGCTCGAGAGCAAGGTCAAGCGCAGTCAAATGGACGCCAACAAACACCTCCAAGTCCCACCAGCAATCTGTGTCAGCAAGCCACTGATAGCCTTTGCGTGCGTCTAGGTCGAGAACGACCAGTTGGTGGCCGACAAGCATACGCTTCAAGCACGCTTGGAGAAGGCGGAGCAAGAACGTACGCGCATGGAGGCTGAGAACCGTGACTCGGCCGACCAGCTGCGGGAAATGGCAGAAAAGGTGAGGATTGTGCGCAGTGCGAGACCATGGAACGACATTTGGCAGGTGTTTCAACTGCTCGAGCGACTCAAGCTCGCCGAGCTTGGTAAAACCAAGTCGCTCGAAGCGCTCAAGCAAAAGGAGATGGAAATGGTGTCGCTCAAGAAGAAGAACGCGCGCTTGCTCAAAGACGTGACGCAAGAAGGCAAAAGTCGCGTGAAAATAGAGCTCGACAAGAATGTGCTCTTGGAACAGCTCCAGGTGACGTGAGGTCTATATGCTCCAACCTAACCTCTGGAAAAGGCGCTGAAAAAACACAACGCGCAACTCAGCATTCGTTGCCGCGACGAAGTGAAAGCGAAACTCAAAGAGACCGAAGAGCGAACGCTATTGGCCGAGAAGCTCAAAACGATGAGCTCGCGATTGAGCTTTCTCCTCAACAAGATGCAAGCCGACGAAGAGGCCAAGCTCTGTACGAAAGAAGACATGAAGAAAATGCAGGCACAGATCCAGAGTCTCCAAGACAAGAACACGGAGCTCGCGCAAAAGCTCAACACGACCGGTGACAGCAACCGTGTCGTCACCGAAGCGCTGCGCTGCAAACAGGTACACTTCGCGTCCTCTGTCACGACTTTCAACGCATCCTCTGTAGGAAGAGCTGGATACAGCGCTCATCAAGCTCGACGCGCTCACCACAAAGCTGCTTAACCAGACGCTGCCAAGCGCCGATATAGCGATTGTCGACTCGGGCCAAAGCAGCAACCAAGCCCACGACATGCCAGCGGACGACAAGGAGCACGAAGCCGCGGGCCGGTTTTTCGTCGAGTGTCGGTCCTCCCACGGCGGCCTCCTCGTCATCAAGCCCAAGCGCAGCAACAATGGGTGTCAAGAGTACCTCGACAAGCTCGGCATCAACCATTTCCTCAAGTGGGCACAAAAGCAAACCAACACCAAGCAGCGCCTCGTCGAGAAACTCGCCGTCCTCGTGCATCAACTCATGATGAGCGAAGAAGCGACGCTTAGTGTCCGAGAGATGCTTGCGTCCAAGCAAGACCATTTGGACCACGTCGGCAAGAAGGCCCAGTGGCTCCAAGAACGGTTGAACGCTGAAGAAGACGCCAAGCGGAAAACGCTCCTTCGGTAAGTTGTGTTATGATTGTTAAATTTCATGTTTGGTAGGTACGTGCACGAGATCAAGTCGCGTACGCCGGTGGAGAGCACCCGCGTCGTTTTGAAGCTGCCAGAAAGCGGCGTCGGCGACGAAGAAGTGCACGCAATTGCGGCTCTCTTGCGCAACAACAGCTCGATCCAAGAGCTCCAGCTGCAGTCGAATACCATCACAAGTCCGTTGGTCGCATTTGTGAAGGGGATGCACTTTGTATGGGTAGGCGAAGGGGCCCGCGCGATAGCAGCTATCTTGGCGCTCTCGACCTGCGCGCTGAGTCATATTGACTTACGCAAAAACCGCATTGGCGACGACGGGGTCCGCGTGCTCTCGGAAGCCCTCGGGCGCAACCCTCGTATCAAGCACGTCTACGTCCACGCAGGCGGCAAGATTGAAGCGCTTGGTGCCCAGCCGTCGAATGCGAACGCCGACGGTCTCATCCAAGTCGAGACCATTTGCGTCATTGACGTACGAGAGAACGAAGCCGGGCGGTCGTCATTGGCGCTGGACCTTGACACGATCGACCATGTGGCGGTGGCACCGCGTATGCACGGAATGTTCGACATATGATTCTGAGCTCGCTGTCTAGTGCCATCGTCGGTGACGGGCGACACCAAGCTCTTTGCCAAGCGCACGAGTACGACGTTGGAAGTGGCGAACGCAGCGGCGCTCGAGAAGAAGCGCGAGTGGGCCAAACTGCAAAAATCCAAGCGCCTCGCCGCGATCGAAATGGAAAAAGCAAAGCAAAAGGAGCAGCTCTGGAGCGGGCGCGCCGGCGGCCTCCAAGTTGCCCACCCCAAAAAACAGCTACCACCACTCGACGATGCGTCGGTACGCAATGATGGGAGCTTGGATGCAGCGATATTGATGCAGTATTTGGTAGACCAAGACTCTGGAACGGTCTTTGTCGGCGCCGTCCGTCAACGACAAGAAGGCCGGTGACGAAGCTGCAGACGGAGCTAACAAGAAGCATATTCAAGCGACACCGTTCAGTCGACGGCTAAAGGAGTCGCCACTCGCCAAGCCCACTTAAGCCATAGTGCGGAATAGGCAGCACCTACTAGGCTCGATAGGACTCATCACAGCCACACGATAAACACCGACTTGTGGACTTCTGAAAATATGGTGGATAAACTTTTGACTGCCCAAACGAAGATCCCATGTGCCCATGTGTACGAAAGCCACTTGATATAGACTCGAATCGCCCAGTCTTTTTCCTGTTTGATGGAATGAAACAGCGTGGCTACTGTGGTTACATACCTTCAGTAATTCGCAAATCACTAGAATTTCCCACTGAGTCCATACGCTTAGTTCTCTTCTCGTGTTGCCGAACTAGATACTTATATATTTGAGTCACCATGGCGGTGCCTCCTACGCTAGCTCGCTTCTTCTCATGCAGCATCCATGTACACTTCTTTGGCTACGAATTGAGGAGACTTGACTTGTCCGTGTGGCGCCGAGGCGTATCCAGAAGCGTCTCGTCTTCGTCTTCGTCCGACATGGAGTATGGCATCGCAATCGACTCCTTCTTCACCTCCAAGTCGAGCATCGACGGGGTGCGCGGTGACATCACCCGAGGTGAGAGCACCTGCTTGGGTGCTTCGACGACCGTCTCTTCTTCGTCATCGTCGTCCGGTAAGACCGTTGAAGCTTCCGAGGTTGTGGACGGTGCCAACGGCTTGCCTTCCCCGCTCTGGCCAACGTCGACGGCAACGCGCAGCCCGGCATCATCGCTTCCCTGTTCTTTGGTCGTCGTGGGGGCGTCAAGGTTGCCCGCCAGGAAGGTTTGCGTCCGGATCTTCTCTGGGAACTCGTCGTCGGCGCGCTGGAGCATGTAGTCTTGGTAGCTCGGCATAAAGTTGTGGTACGCGTCAGCGACAATGTCCTGGACGCTCAGCACCTCCTTCATGTTTTTGACAACTTCGGACGCCGGAATCGCTTCGCACGTGTTCTATGCCCACATTGTTTCGCGATATATATAGATATAGAACCATAGTCATAAGTACCCGGAATTGGCCAGCCCCAAAGGAGAAATAATACATGAGAGCCACCGGAGCCATCTCGAGTGCAAGCACAAAGTCGTTCCAGGCGAAGGCTTGCTCCTTGGAAATCTCGGGAAGGTCGTCGATGAGCAGCGTCTGCCAAAAGGTCAGAAAGATGACACTTTTGACCGCAAAAAACTTGAGCACGGGCGAGAATGGTGCGAGAATGTGCTTGGTCGCGAGGTAAAAGACAAGGAGACCGTAGAGCGCGATGCTGTAGCTCACGTTATAGACGATCCAGAGAAGCCATTGGAACCCGTCCGAGTCGTAGGCGCCGATCGCGAGCATGAGCAGCGAGAGGACGGCCATGAAGGGCTTGAGAAACACAAACTGAATCGTCGCCTTCTTGCAGTTGCGGAGGAGCCGACCGTCGCGCGCCATGGGCGAAAAACAGTAGCCAAAGGGAAACGGATGCGGGATCTCGGCCTCGGACACCATCTTGCTCACACAGAGCGATTCGCCGCCTGCGCATATATGAGTCCTCGCCGCATAGCACAAGGCGCGTACCGGCAAAGGCGAGGACGAGGTTGAGGAAGCTGTACACAACAAAGGCCTCGTACATGTCTCGGACAATGTTAAAGTACGCGGCTTGGTGCACAAACTTGAACGAGAGAAAGGACCCGACCGCGTACACGGGCACGATGAGCAAGATGCGCAGGATGTAGCGCTGCAGATGCGGCCGCGTATACGCGCGCAAGTGCTGGTACATGCTAAAGGCCGTGAGCGCCGACGCAAAAAGCGCGGCCAACGCGGCGATCAAGAGGAAATAGCCTCGCTCGGTCTCGATGAGGCTCAGCGGAATGCCCAGCACGGTGCCATTGCCCGTGACGTCGCCGCCCAAGATGACGGTCTCGTTGATGGCCTGCATGGGCGCCTACTGCAGCTACAGAGCGCGCTGCATGAGCCAGCAGCATGGCGGCGCATACCGTCGTCGTCGGCCGTCGACCGCTTCACCGATGGCTCGGGAACTGCCACTTGCAGTTTGTAGGTTGGCCCGACTCCGGTTTCACCCGCTGTATCGACTTGAAGTTTGTATGGTTGTATTTTTAGACGTATTTTTAAAAATGCACCACGCGCTCGATACATTCCGCAAAAATGCACGCACATCGTTTTAAAAATATCTGGTTTGGATTTCGGAAGATCGCAACTCTGCAGTCATGGAGAGCCGCCGATGGACCATGGCTTGTCGACAGTGCAGTGCGACCAAGCGCGCAGGGTGGTCTAGTAGCTAGTAGAAGCTGCTATAAGCCACGTCGAGGAGTACGAGTCTACGAAGCCAATGCTGGAGCTAATGCCAGAAGGACCCCACCGTCCACTTGAATTGATCGAATTTGCTCTTGAGGCCCCGACAAGCCATGTGTTTCTAGGTGCACTAGCGATGCAATGGACCAACGCATCAGCAATCGATAAAGAACCCTGTGCGTCGTGCTCGAAATGGAATGATGAAGTGGGTTACTTGCAGCGGAGGGTTTGGCCGGCGCAGATCTGGGACGATGTGGCGCAGGTCGTGAGGACCTTGGAGCACACCATCCAGCAGTTGACGCCTTGCGCCGTCGCGCTGCGCATGCACTTGTTCTTCGCGCAGTCGCTCGCGTAGTCGCCGTTGTTGCACCACTGGGTGCAGTTGGCGTCCGTCACGCGCGGTGGGCTGCCTGGCGTCGCCTTCCACACGCCGTACGTGCACGCAGCGTCCATCGCGACAAGCTTGCGGCCGACGGGGCACCCGATCGGCATCGCATCGCGGTCGACCAAGTGGCGCGCGACGCGATCGTTGTACTGTTGAAACGAAAGGCCCGTGTTGGTCATGACATGCGACGCCGGCAGAAGCAGCATGCGACCCGAGAAGGCGCGGAAGACGCCAGGCGCCGCCGGCATGACCATCCCGTGAAGCACGCTCGGAAAGGTGTGTCCAAAGCTGCCCCACTGCGTCACGCCGTCGCCGACCATGATCGTGAGCTCGTCTTCCTTGAGCGTCGGGTGCACGCGTGTCGCGTTCAGCTCAATGATCAAGCCCGCGATCGGGTCTGGCGACATCACCGCGTCGCCACGGTCGGTGAAGAAGAGCGGCGCCGACGTGAGAAGAAAGAGACCGTTGTCCGTGTGCATCTGCAGCGTCAGGTCATCGCGCGATGCGTTGGTTGCATCGAGTCGGGTGTAGCCGTGGAAGTGGTCGAGGTGCGCGCCATTGGCGACGATGTCCGCGAGGCTCGTTGCGTTGGGCACATGGAGCAAGGTTGCAAGTGACGCCGTGACGGTGTCGAGCAACGACGTGTACGCATCGTGGGCCGTGATGAGGTCCGGGCACTGCGACACAATCGTGTCGCTCAAGCCAAGCGACGACCGGCTGCTCAGCGTCAAGCGGCGCGTGGCGTCGGCCAACGTACGCTGCTGGAGGCCGGGAAAGGCACCGTGGGTCGCGACGCAGATCGTGGCTGCCTTCATGTAGGCGGCGCGCGTCTCGGCAAAGCGAGGGATGTTCTTGATGTTGGCAATGCCATTGGCGGCGAGGGCCGGAAGGAGGCCGTCGGGCTCCGCCAAGTCAAAGGCCGGGATCGTAAACGACGGGTACGTCGCGGCGAGGGCGGTGGCAGCGAGCGCGCTGAGCGGCAGCCAGAGGGACACCATGTGCGCAGTCGAAGGCAAATCGAAAAGTGAAAAGATAAAGGTGGAGAAAGGTGTTGCTAGTCGTCCCAGCGGACAAGATCGAACGCGCCATCTCCGCGGACCAGGCTCGTTCTCTTCAAAGAGGCTTGCTGGATGGAAGGCTACTTTAGCGGTCGGACACTCGGGTTCATTCTCGTGTGCCAGGTCACATGACGAGATGCGTTGATAAGCATATAGGATACTACGCATTCCCAAGGGCATCGACTACGGAATCGACATCATTTGGAAGGACTATCGCACCCTGCAATGCTTCGAAAGCGCATCGGGTGCGGCCTCTGCAACCTTTGGAGCCAGGACCAAAAGTAATATCTGCGCACGGTGGGGCAAGAACGGCAGAAATGCGACAATCTTTTCGGTCGTGTTAATACGAGATGAAATGACTTGACTAATTCATCCGGTGTTCTTACTCTCATCCATGCACGCCAAATGAAGCAAAGCTTCATGAGAAATGATTAGCTAGTGCTTCTCCTACGAGCTTCGAGGCGGCTCACGGTCGACAGCATAAAGGTGATTTCCGCGTCCCGCTTCTGGGAATGGGTGTATAACATCGAAGTCCTTAGTCCATGTTTCGTGGCTTCCGCGCCGTTGACGCCGGCTTCAACACACAAAAGGGCGTCGAACGATGCTTGTCAGAGTGTCCCAAGCTTCATTCTAAGTGTTATCCGGATCCGGATAAAGATTCGACTTTCAAGATTGGCGATCTTGAAAAGTTTACGTGCCCCCCCGTTAATGGACAGCGCGGAAAAGTCTCAATGGCGCGCTTGACGAGCACATCATATTAATAAACACTTATTACGTATAGTGCTTGCAGTCAAATATATTTTTGAGGGCATGTACATTAGCATAAAACGTGAGAACACAATATTTGATGCAATGGAAGTTGGCGACGAAGTCAGGCATTAGTTGAAACGCTGCAAAATTTTATTGAACTTAACTCTATACTGTATTCGAGAGAGATGCACGCGATCGTAAGATTAGCACGCCGGCTTGGTCGTAGAAGCATCAGTGACAGCCGCGGTAGGAGCCGCCGTGGGAGCGTCCGTGGGAGCCGCCGTGGGAGTTCCCGTGGGAGTTCCCGTGGGAGCCGCGGTAGGAGCGTCCGTAGGGGCCGCCGTCGGGGCAGGAGTCGGTGCAGGAGTCGGAGCCTTCGTCGCCGGTGTCTTGCACGAAATTGCCTGGCCCTTGCACTCCTGCACCGCGCACACATCCGACGAAAGCGGCGCCACGCACACCATCCAGCAGTTAATGCCAGGCGCCGTGCCCTG